AGTTTTGCTAGGAGAGACTGACATTTCCTCTTATCTAGAAGCTCAGGTCTGATCCAAGGTTACATATGTCATATGTAGGAACTGTTCATTGCCTAATTTACCCTGGTGCATGGTTTGAACCACTAAATACTAAATACTAAATTTATAGTCCGTTTCAGCACCCTAATTTCAAATGGCCATATCTCAAGGAGTTTTTGACCTAGAGGTAAACTTTCTGATTTGTTTAAGACCTTATGCTATAACATATAATAATATATTTTTTTATAATTATTATACGCCCACATTTTCATGTGGACGTATATTTGTAGTGCCATGGGTTTTCTGTCAGACGTGGAAAGCGGCCATACCCTCAAAAGTCCGGTCGCCACATCCGGCTCAATGACCCATGCACTCTTTTCTTACTACACATCTTGGAACAGCCCTTGATCGTCCAGTATTTGTAATTTTCTTCTTTGGATTCCTTTTCACGTTGTATATTTCCCTCTTACTAATAGTTAAGACGGTTGGCTTGCCAGGAATAACAATGCAACAGTTCAGTTCTACATTTTTATGTCAAGCTGGATACATATTGTTACAATGCATAATAGATTACATTAGCATACTTAAAAGAGCTAAATCGCTGACATTTGGGACCTAGAAATTGACAAAAGTGGGTCGCAACGCATATAATACTGTAATATGAATGTATATAAACTGATTTACATTCAATGGTTTCCGTTTTTACTCCAATTTCAAATCAGTTATGTTCGGCGAAATAAGCCAGAAGTCTCAAGCGAGCGCAAATTTCTAGCCTCTGGTTATTCCAGCCTACATACGCCGTTTGATTTGATGCAATGTGTCTAGACTCGTCCCTCGAGTTTCTTGATGCAACTGGGGCTGAAGCGCATTATGGTACACGATTCGTGTACCAATGGTAAAATGTTTATTTTGTCTTAAATATTGGATATCAAAAGCCCATCTTTTCCCGGTAAGATCACAACATGAATGTTGATTTAATTTGACAAATAAATCGTGTTTTCGATGTTGAAGATTTTGGATGATATTGAGTTAGAGACTTAGCTAATTTAAAATTAACATCTTTCACTCACCCCTAACTCCTGTACAAGTCTAACCAGCGTGGCTAGACTCAGGAAGCCGCTTCATCATAACAATATGGTTATCTAAAGAACCAAGGCGATGTCTACCCTCTCTGAGAATTCAGCGGTATTCTCTAGGAACTCAGATGGTCATCTCTACGGAACTCGCATGGTATCTGTTCGGAACCCAATAGTGTCTAAAATCTATAGGGCCTAAACCACTCTTATATCCTTGAGACAGCTCCTTCAATTATTTAATTGGACAAATATTACGTAATTAATTATGATGATTGGTTACTAAGCCAAATGATGATTTTTCCAACATAATATGATTTTTCCAACACAAGTGATAAACATGATATTCTGGGTTCACCTAGAAACATCTCTGTTTTGGTTTTATAAATCTTTTTATGAGTTAACCACTTAATCATTTCAATTTGAGTACCTGGGATGTAACTTCTTTACAGTGTGTGAATCTAATAATTAATTAAAGATACATTATAGTCGCGCGCGCGCGCGCGAGAGAGAGAGAGAGAGAGAGAGAGAGGGGTTTAACGTCCACTCGACACAAACTATCTTTTGGGACCAACACATGGTTCAATTTTATTTCAATAATTCGTGTGCCGGAGAAAACCCACGGCCCTATTCCTTGTCACGTACAACCGGAGAATCGAAACCACGCCAGTTAACTCAATGACAGACCTTATGATACAGCCCGCACGTGCTAACCATTCGGCCCTCCAACATAGTGTTACATATTTTCGTCGCCCCTGTCCGTCCGTCCATCCACAATTGTATGTGGACATTGTGGACACTTATAGTAAAATGGATTTGTGCTAAAGATCACATATATATACTCTTCAAAAAAACAAAAAACAATTCAGAAATAATACAAAACTGCGGAAATGCACTGCTGTTTTTATTAGAGGTAACCAGTGTATGTTAATAACATGTCAATTGCCTACACATGAACATAAACAGTTCATATGGGCGGCTTATCTGACGGCCCCATTTCACTCGCAAAGAGATACACTGTCAAAAGTGAAAATGGACGTTTTTGATTTTTGTCTTAATAATGAATAATTGCTCCACCAATCCTCAGACATTCAGCAATTCGTCGTGGCATGCTCCTAATCAACCGTCCAATCACAATTTGGGGCAATCTGACCCACCCCTCTTGCAGTGCCACGGCCAATTCTTGCAGTATTGTCGGTTGACGTTGACGTCATGTCCTAGACATGCTCTATAGGGAAAAGGTCAGGACTCATGGCTGGCCAAGGCATATGGACATTATGGTGACGCTGGAGATAGTCATTCACGACACGAGCGCGGTGGGCACGGGCATTATCATCTTGAAAGATGAAACATCTACCTGCACGTTGAGCAAAGGGCAGAACTATCGGTGCCAGGATGTGGTCACGGCACACCATAACGGACCCACGCCCGAATCTGTCATGCTGTCTGACGTTAACGTTAGTATTTCCCTCATTTACACGCCTTCAAACGCGAGCACGCCTATCGGTGAAATCCAGAGTAAATGTGGACCCATCTGAGAACATTGCACGCGCCCATCGACGATCACCCCTTGTAATCTATATATCAAGCTTGATATAAAACTGTAGAAACCGTACTGTTGTTCCTGTCGTCTTTTTTATGAATCTTATGATATTATTGGGACTCATAAAAAGATATAGGCCTACACAACGTGAGATGTTACAAGAAACATTTAAAGGATCCTAACCAAGAAAGAGAGAAATAGATCAAATCCGAGACAATACTAGACGATCAATGGTTGTTCCAAGATATGTAGTAAGAAAGAGTGCATGGGTCATACCTCGGATGTTGCATGCATCGGACTGTTATTTCATGGATTTGGGCCCCGATTGTAAGAAAAATCACGTTTGTAAATTGTAACTCGTGGACACTCTGGATGTCAGAATTTTTATCCGATTTTGATGAAACTTGAAATATATGTTTATAAATCAAAAATTGCGGCTCTTTTCGATATTCGCGCATATCGGACTGTAACTTCCTAGATTTTTTTTCCCTTGATTGCTTGTGGTCGCTCTAGGGTCACAGTTTTTATCCGATTTAAAAAAAACGCTCGAATACATCCCCGTTACACCATTATAAAGGTTTCTGAAAATCAGACCAAAACTGCCCAACAAAATAGCCACTCCCTGTACGCAACTAAAGGTTGTAATATTAAGATTGTGGACCCTCTAGAAGTCACAATTTTGATCTGACTTTGATGAAACTTAAAATGTGTATATATCCCAACAATCTTGTTTCCTGTCCATATCGGACCGTAACTTCCTGGATTATGGCCCCTGATTGTACGCAAAATCGCGATTTTAGCTTGTGGACCCTCTTGTGGTCCCATTTTTTATTCGATTTTACACCCTGATGATGGTTGAGTTCAGATTTCGTAAAAAACCTGACCGTCCGACAGAATTGGCGCTGCTTGAAAGCAAATAATGTAAAAGTATGCAATACCAAGGTTGTGGACCATCTATGGGTCAAAATTTTTATCTGATGTTGATGAAAATAAAAATATATGTTGGTTCCTTTCGATATTAGTGCACATCAGACGATAACTTACTGGATTATGGTCCCTGATTGTACAAGAAATCATATTTTTAGCTTTTGGAACCTGTATAGGTCACAATTTTTATCCAATTTTAAAGATAGGTTGCTTGGCAACGAAACATACGCCCACAGAAGCTAAATTGTCCAGGCAGTCCACAAGTGTTGTCGCATATTTTTACTATTTTCGGTAATGAAACATTTATAATACACTAAAATCTGATTAAGAGTAACAACTCATAAAGTAATTATCAGAAAACCATTAGAATTTGTTTGGTTTTTATAAAGTTCTGCCCAATGCTAACGTTTAGTATACGAAAGTTTAATAAGTGACCAAGGGCCATAACTCTGGCAGTAATTATCGGAAATCGCTGAAAATCAATAGACTTCTTCAACTAATGACCTTAAACACTGTGTATAAATTCAAAGTCAACTTGACTGGGGCCATTACATTGCCAATGTAATTAATTACATTACCATTACCATTACTTTTTAAATGTAATCATTACAATTACTTTCTCATTTTTAGCAATGTAATTAATTACCATTACCCATTACAAGCGGATATTAACTTCAGCCACAAGAGCATCCACAAGATTTTTTGAAGTGATCAAGGGCCATAACTCTGGCAGTAATTATCGGAAATCGCTGAAAATCAATAGGTTTCTTCGTCTCATGGCCTTAAACATTGTATATAAATTAAAAGTCAATCGGATATTAACTTTAGCTGGTGGACGGACGGGGGCAACGACAATATACGACCACATTTCAATGTGGGCGTATAAAAACCGTTTAATTATATCACTGTTACACCCTGATGACGGATGAGTTCAAATTTCTGGGAAATCGCACCGAAACTACCCAACAAAATGGCCATTCCTTGAATGCAAATCTTGTAAATGTGTGTAATATGATTTTGGACATTCTATAAGTCACAACTTTTTCCGATTTGGATGAAACATAAAATATGTTTTTATCCCTTTCGTTATTTGCGCATTTCAGACCAAGACTTCCTGGATTATGGCCCCTGGTAAAAAAAAAATAGCGGTTTTATTTTTACCTTGTTCTCTATCCATATCTTGAAAAATGTGGGCGTATCTTGCCTGTTAACAACTAGTTTGGGAGGGGGTCATGTTACCCACTTTCCATAATTTGGTCAACTCGACATGGAATGACCAAGTGAAATTTTAGATAGCAATTGAATTCCAACTGGCAAAGGTGTAAAGGGTTCTTTTAGGTGTACACAGGATATGGTATTTGTTCATCCTGAGCCACTGCAAACCCCATTGATACTACAGATTATTTGGAAGGGGAAAGAGAAATAATTAATATATAAAGTGTTGTAAAATCCTTTTTAATGTGTTCACACTCAATCACTATAAACAACTACAATAGAACAGACAATAAATAAATGTATTAAAATTCAAATATTGGTAGAACTTTCATATTCTAGATGGGTCACAGTATCATATGAGATAAAATGAAAACAATTGTTTAAATAAATAAAACATATTCCTGGAGTCTAGGTTTACCAAAAATAGATCTCTTTAAATTTTCCCATGTATTTACAGTCTAATTATTTCATGGTTTCTTTTATTTAAAAATAGAATATCATTTCTAGTTACCCATTTGATGGGCTAATCTATAGCCGCATACTCTACCTACAACACAGTGCTTAGCAAATAAAAATACATTTGTACATATTTTACACCAAATTATAATATATACAAATAAAAACTGACAATTTACATGCATTTCCAATATCAAAATTAATGCTCAGATTTATATAAGCCCTTTAAATAAGTTTTGATTGTTTTTTTCCGAGGCAATAATAAAAATAATGTTATTTTCTTTGTTTATGCAATCTTTTTTTCAGATCTATTATGCTTAAAGGGGCATTATGTAAGATTTAGATAAAGAGCTTGCCGTTCTCGCTATAATATTTCAAAAATAAATGATGCAAAATGAACATTTTGAAAATTTCAATCTAATTACTTTATTTTGAACTAAGTTATTAATGGTTGTAGTTTTGACAAGATGTATGCACTCTTGTAACCACCATACTGGTCATTCTTGTCTTAGCCTTGCTTCTCCATTTCTAAATTAAATCAATAAATGGCCAAACCATTCTAATCTACTTAAATGTCTTATGGTCTTTGTCATGTTGATAAATGTCTAATAATTTATGTAATATTTAAGGCCCAAAGAAAGACCTGCAATAGGCAAATTTAGGTCTTACATAATACCTGTTTAATAATTAATTACTGGTATATAATGAAGAGATGTATCCCTTGTTTTTTTTCACAAATGTTGTTAGAATTTGACTTCAGTCACAATAGGTCTAAGGAAAATGGCCAAAAGTTTCTAATCTTGGTGACAAAATATAACATAGAATATACTGGTGTTGATAAAAGTGTATGATCACTCGGGCGAGATAAAAAAAATACTCATGACATTAGTGATAATTATAAATTTTTGACCTTTTCTGATCCAAGTAATTATAATAGTGTAAAAATACACATCACATAAAGAATATAATTACTAATGTTATTAATCTATTTGGCAGAGATAATTACTTTAATTATTTATATGGGCTGATAATCAAGTTGTAATTTGTATTCAATTTGTGATATTACCATTGTATTTGTAATTGCATAATTACTGATTAGAGATTATACTTTAATCCAAAATGTTTTAAATATACATGGACACAAATGTACAAAACAATGAGTCTACTGTAAAACATGCAAACACTACAATACATTTTGACTATAAATATAACAATAAATTAGTGGTGTAGCTACATGTATGAGCAATAAAAAGGTAATTTATAATATATATATATCTAAACTAACTCAGATATTGTTACTTTGTGAGCCTTTGTAATCAATGTGTTTTCAATCTGAGAGAGAAATGGGGTTTAACGTCCACTCGACACAAACTAGGTCATTTTGGGACTAACATATGGTTTAATTTTATTTCAATAATTCGCTTGCGCGTAGGGGTCTTTTGCAGTGGGAGGAAACCTGAGGACCCGGAGAAAACCCACGAGGTTGGACAGGTGACCCTACTTGTCACGTACAACTGGGGATTTTTCGATCTGAAAGAAAATAGATTGAAATGCATGCAATGAATGTTTTATTTAAACATGTTGCCAATATCATAATTAATGCAATGGGTGTTTTCCTTAATACAAATTGCCAATATCTAAATTTCATAAATAACTCAAATTAACAGTTATTGTAAATCCTATAAATTATGCTTCATCATATTGTTACATACTCTATTTACAATTATTGTTAACTTGACATTATTTATCTGCCATTGGTATTATTTACATATAAATCTTGTTATAGACCAAACGTTATATATTAATGGTTGATCTACATGTAAAAGATAGAGTAGAAAAAGATATAAATGCCTGCAAGAATGAAGTCTTTGATCTATTTAATAGATTGGTATTATTGCCCTATGTAGATAATGTAAGCGTAGAATGTAATATAAGGAATGGTATATTAGAATGTTATAATATAATATCATCATTCCTTCTATAAAGATGGGAATATTAAATGAATATAATGGCAGTATTAATGAGCATAATACTCTATAATTGATAGATGTATAAATCTGACTAGATCAATATAATTAATAAAGGTTTTAACAACAAGCACTGGTTTCACAAGGATTATTATATTCAAGTTTTATCTAGTTTTTCTAACTATTATGATTTTAAGAATAAAAACTGTAACTCTTCAATGTGTCTTTCCACAAAACACACTGTAAGCCATTCTCTGAAACTGAGATGTATTAAATCAATTTAAATGAGCCTTAATGAACTATTCTAGATAACTTAATTACAATCAGCACTTTACTTGATTGGACTACACTGTTACAATGGAGATGTTCAAATCAGATTGTATACACATAATCTATTGGTTTTCAAGATGTTGTTTAACAATGACTAATTAGGTCAGTCAGGGGCGGATCCGGGGGGAGGGGGGGGAGAGTCTTCGACCTTGATCAGTTCTTGATCTTGAATAAATTATGATGTTGTATACACCGTTCACGTCATCTGCTGTAAACAATCATATCTAGATAATGTGATGTCAGAAGGATTTCCCTCTAATATGCGATTATTCAGGTCTACCATCTATCGTGAGTGGAACGTGTCTGAATTTCATTTTCTGATGGTTGAAGAGTGCTATTTTTAAATGTTTAAAATAATTCATAGAGCGGCCGAGTAGTGCACTGAAGTAGATATTTACTTTTTACGTCTGAATTGTTGTATTTTAAAACTTGTTGTGGATGTATTCAAAGAATTAACCCAAAATCACAAAATCCCGTTTGAAGGTAAATAAAGAAGAACGATTTTAAAATACTCTGAGATGATATTTTCCAACATTTTTGGTTTCGAAATGTAGCTTACAACCTCTACTTTCCATCTACTGGAGTGATTATCGATATCTCTTTTTAGCATGTACTAATAGAATTTCAAGAAAACTCATAGGTCTTTTGCATTTCCATGGATACCAGACAAACCACAGTCTATAGCCAAAAGTTGTCCAGTAGCTTTTTTGGACATGCAATCAGCATTGTTCATGCCAAATTTAAAGAAAATCCATGCGGGCATAACTGAGAAAATTTGACTTTTGTTGTCATCAGCACCCTTTATTATCATGCTTTTGGGCCAAGTTTGGAACATAGTTGGTAAATAAAATTGGTATTTTTTTGGTGATCAATATATAGTTTACCACCTAAAATAAAAGAATTATAGTGCTAGCTTTAAAATGCGCATTTTAGACTGCTCGATGACCTTAATGACAAGGATGTTCATCATGTAAATGAACAGTGAAATAACAAATAAATTTCTCAGAATGACTGCAGTGAACCTATAACTGTGCAGTAATGCTAATTGATATATGTTCTAACAGTACTGATTTCAACAGCAATACATGTATTTATAGAATTAATTATCATTTAATTTAAATGTATTGCATTTTTAAAAGAATTTTTGTTCTATTCATAACATAAACAATGATCAATTTTTAATCAAATAAAATCAATTCTAAAAGAATAACATAATAAAATCTTGACAAATCTGATGTAAAGGAGGCCATATTTTACATGTTCTTCATACTTCGTTATTCATGACATCTTTTACATTGGTTTGATGAAGTAACATATCATCTGTGCCATCAACAAATCACATTGCATATGAACAACTACACTATCTGTAGTGAGTATCTGTACGAGCATCTCAAAATTTTATTGCTCGATTCAATTGCTACAAGATGTACTGCCAACCTCAAACAAAAATAACAGTACTTGGAAGATTCAGTCTCCTTTGGAATTCAAAAGACAATTTAAAAAAAAAAAACGCAATGCCTACCGGAACATGTAATTACTTAACAAACTCAAAAGAGCACACACAAAGGAAAATGACCAAACTTTTAAACAAAAAGAGAGTAAAATTGTGACCTCTCCAATGTAGTTTTCTAAATGATTGATCATTTGATAGCGATCATCACAAAAGCACTAAATAATTTGAATTTCTTCAATCAAATTCACTTATAAATGGGAACCAAAACACCACTACTTGCTGTTGTTCGAACTTGAAAGTCTGTAGCGCCACAGACTATTGCATTATGATTGAATGGTAAAGACATCCAGCCTATTATGAAATAACTAGATAAAAGAGGTAAGCAGAGTCCTATTGAAAAATTACTTAAAAAAAAAACAAAAAAACTATTCACAACCACAATATTCTGCTCTGCGTAGATCAAGTGTCTTGAGGCAAGTCATGGTGTAAGCACATAAGGTTAAGTATATAAGCAGGTGATGAAGTTGTCTATACAATAACAAGCTTATTTATCTTATATAAAAACATCACAGATAGTCTTCTCTCTGCCACATTTAAACATTGAAATCATCTGTAGAGGCGAGAAAAATCTCTCAAAGAATGGGACACATGTTTCATAGCTTCAGCACTGAAAAGAAGAAAATAGGACTTCTTGTCAAAACATGAAACTATACGTAAATTTTAATGTAATGAAATAGGGTTTTATCTTCAATTTTTCTACACCAACAAAGCTAACAAAGACAGGCAGACGCCATGAAGTATGCTACGAGAGAAATTTTACCCAGACTCTTCATTGAATCCCAGCAGTCAAGGGTTCTTTTACATGCACACTAACATGTACATGGGATCTTAGTTTTTTTTGTCCTATCTGAATGAATAGACAGGCCCTCCATCCTGCACCACTTATAAAGGGAAACCCCAATGAAAAATCCTGATGAATTTTCTTAACCAACACTGGAATTGAAACCGGGACCTTCTGGTAAGTGAGCCAGCACCTTATTCACGGAGCTACTGTGACTCCCTATTAGAACTACCCATAGTTGTACTTTACCATCAATCTTTTCTTTTCTCAATCAAAGATTCTTGACAAAATCTCTATCATTTTCCAAATACTCAAAATTTTTAACAAGTTTGAATCATCTTGACATTATCAAATATCAATGCAACTGAGAAATTTGATATACCCTATCAGTAAAATTATATTTCCAATTAAAAGGGTTGATAAGGATGACAAAATCTACTGAGAGGTGGAATAGAAATAAATGTTGATGAAATCCAGGATAAATCTAATATATATTACCTGGTTACTGCTTTATGAAAGTCAGTTAATTGTTTATGTGTAGCTGTTACTGCACCACCACTATTTTCAGCTGGTAAAGCTTTTAATGTAGTTTCTAATAATACACAAAACATCTGAAACAAATCATAATCAACTTTTAATATTGTAGAGTTCTGTACAAACTTGGTGATTTGATGATATATTTGGACTAAAAATATATTCAAACTAATTAATCTATCAAAATTTTGCTTCAAATACTTCTCAAAACATTGTATTCATGAGGGAATACTCTGCTATAAAAAATCTATTTAAAGAAGTCATGGTTGTGTCACATGAATTGGCTGACTTGGTACCTAGCAACGGGTGTGAAGCCGGAGGAGAATTCATGGCATATACAAGACAATGTTGTCTTTAATCGCTGTCCATTATCATTTATATCGAAGCCTAATTAAATTCCCGGATTATCCCACGTCTTTTTCCTTTTTTTTTTTATCTCAGAAGCTGTTGTACGTTTAAGCTCACCATCAAGTTTATCAACATATACATCAAGTGCTCACTAACGTTGAGAGATCAAACAATCTTTGCGTGCAACCTTTGACGTCACTCGAGCAGACATCCCTAATCGTTGGGTTGCCGGTTTGAGAAACCCTTACATTTTTGTCCTGTATGCACTCCATTAGTGTTTTTCACTCCATATATACCAAAACTTTCAAATTTTATTGGAAATAACCACCTGATAAATACTTCTGTGGGAAAGTATCATTGATTACATTTGACATTATAACATAGCTTTTACGCCTCCTGTTTCATATAGACACTTTCTTTAAATAGTACCATTTACTGAAAAAGTATCTATGAACAAAGGCAACCTTCTCATTCACAATTTAAAATGACTTTCAAGACACACTAAGTTTATGTTTATTTCTTAAGAGGGAGAATCCATGTGACCCTACTCCTTGTCAGTACAATCCCAGAATGGAAACAACACGACTTAACTCAATGACAGATGTTATAATCTAAATACAAGTCAGTCAATGCACACCCCACACCCCTATCCAGCCCTTAAAATATAAGAACTTGTATTACTGGGGAGGTTGGATGGCTGAATGGTTAGTACGCGCATGCTGTATCATACGGTCTGTCATTGAGTCAACTGGCGGGTTTCGATTCCTCGGTTGTACGTGACAAGGAGTAGGGTCGCCTGTCCAACTTCGTGGGTTTTCTCCGGGTCCTCCGGTTTCCTCCCACTGCTAAAGACCCCTACGCACAAGCGAATTATTGAAATAAAAAAATAAACCATATGTTAGTCCCGAAATGACCTAGTTTGTGTCGAGTGGACGTTAAACCCCATTTCTCTCTCTCTTGTATTACTTGATTTATACTTACAGGCCTATCAATTAACATAATTTCGTGTACAACTTCTGCTACATCAGGAATCATATATGTAGGTAAACAATAAATACAAGCGTTAATAATAGCATGTATTAAAGCCTGACCATGATCATTTAATAACTGTTTGACTAGAGTTTGACGCACTTCAAAATCTTCTCGATCCTAAAACATACAAAGAAAACGAAATAAATTATATTCAGAGTGGATGTGGGACCGTGGAAATAACTACCGTTCTGTTCTAGATGTATAGCTTATCTTTGCAATTTTCAAAAGCAGATTGTAACCAAAAGATGAACAGAATTCACACAGTGTGGGACATGATTTGAACTAATAACTCATACCTGTTTACAAGGCGAAATATCTAAAACTGTTAGGAGAAAATGCCTGATTTTCATCTATAGAGATAATTCAATTTTTTTACTTTGACTTACATCTTTTTCTCTACCACATTTGAAGAAATCAGCAAGAAATTTCATCACAGAAGCATTGGCATCTTTATGATCCAATGAACAGGCAGCTATAGCACAACATATTAAAGGTTTACACATGGGACTTTGTAAAAACGGGACAGGACATCTCTGGATAAATCTACAAGTAGAAAATTATGAAAGCACTACAAAAACAGAATTAAGTAGAAATAGATACATAAACAAGTTAAATTCTAATGTTTGTAATGAGGAATTTTCAATTAATTAAGTACAAACTGGAGTAATGACCTCTGAACCTGTCTGTATTCTTTTATTAATTAGTCCAGTTTCAGGTTATTTCATTTTGGGGGCCATGTGCTTGAACAGTAGGGGCACTGGACACCTGACCAAAATGACATGGATACAAATCCGAATGTGTGCCAAGATGAACCTTAGTCTATTTCCCTTTTTCAGATACTGGTTCCCACTTTATCAGGGATCGAGTCAGTGGGGGTGACAAGCAAAGTGTTTCCCATTCATTCAGATGGCACAATTAAATGTCGTCAGCTGGTGTACATATTGGAGAGCATCCACATCCTACGTGACCACAGAACACCCCTCCCACCTCCAAAGTCTCATGTCAGTGAGACATTAAACTGTGAACAATACCTTTTATTGTTAGTTTTACATAAACATATATAAAAACCCATTAGTTCAAAATAATTTCGAAAAAAATTTTTAACCACAAAGTTATTGTTCAACAAAAGGTATGAAATACACTAACAGATCTGTTCATTGATGTTTCTATAACCTTAAATAATATTTACCGTAAACATAATCTAAATAAATCATCTACAGTATCTGGGTGATTTCTTAATCCATTATGCTCTTCTAATATTTTAAATGTAGGTCCACAAAATGCCTGGAACAGACGTATAAGTATATATTAAATGTACAATAATGACTAAATACTGCTGACTTCACCATCATTATAATGATAACATTATATATTATACACCAGGGCAACCTTCGGATGTAAACTGTGGGCACGATTACAGGTGTTCAGACCACTGACTATTCAATATGGCAGTGCTCATGTCAGTTGTTTCGCCCGCTATATTTTTTTGCTATTTACTCATTTTTAAAACTATATTTTGACGATGGGGATGAAGAAATGCTTTTAAAACATTTTCTTACAGCACTATAACACAATTGGAAGTTATAATGATAATCCCTTATCCTGAAATCCACTTTAGACAGATCCATACTATATTCAGGTCCTAGTGTTTAAATATATCACCGATAAAAGAATACCTTTCTCAATACACAAATACTTTGAATTGTAGAAAGTAGTGCTCACCATACACAAATGTTCTAATACAAACAGATTTTCCAAACTATTGAAACAGATTTTTTTGTATTCATTATTCAGTGTCAATTAAAACTAATGGAATTTTATATTTATTCAATGAATCCAATCAAACAAATAAACGAATAAAAGAAACATTATTTATTTGAAAATCTCACAATTTCTAGAAATCTGAAAATGTATTAATAACAATCCAAATATTGATGTTTGAATTGAATCAAATAATGATAGGTAATTAAATAGTAAATTAAACATTGGATGTGACCAATAGTAAAGAGAAATAAGTTTAAACTGAAATTGTATAAAGTAGGTATAGATATATACACACCTGTAACATATCTAACAAACCTGGTATACAACCCGGTTCTGTACCATATTCATCTGTTAATATACTACCCAAATATAGAAAACATGAATGTTGATGTACTTGATATAACTGTACCATCTGTAAAATAAATACATACTATCAAACTATAGTTTAGAGGCTCAGTTTGGGGTCCATTAAATGGGCACAAAATCAGATCAAACTTTTCTACAAATTTTTTTTTGTGTGTAGAATAGGATGCTGAATGGTAATCAGTACGCTACTGGGGTGTTTTCGAGATATTTAGGGTCAAAGGTCAAATGAGGTCATTTACACTGAAAGTGAATATGCAGCCATTCTTGAATCATGAAAATGATCAAAACTAATCACTCTTTCAATAAAAATGTAAACTTGCTAAATTCACCTTTGTTCTTTGTGACCCTGGAGGTCAAAAGGTCAAGTTTTCCGAGTTAACGCAATACACGCTAAAAGGTGGCACGCTAGCTTATTTATATCTTCTATGATATAATTTTCAGTTCATTATGTCTTTGTATACACTGAGTAAATTGAACCCTAATTGGACTGTATTTTATTTGAAGATTCAATTTCACAATGCTGTAATTTGCATATAATTCAAAACTACTCAAATAACCCTCAAGGATTTATTTTACAACAACGAGTCCTAATGCCTAGATTATAAACTATATTCAATATTCACATACATGTACTGAAGGCATATCAGAAATTTAACTTACCTGTGTGACTAGAGGGGTTAATAATGTGGCTGAGTTTTTACCCAAACATCTAATAGCAAATCTAATACATCGACAACATCTCTCTGTTATTCTAACATCAGCTTGATATTTATTACAAGCTTGTGATAATACTAACCATACCTACAATAACAACATTTAAACACAATTATTTCCAATTCATACGGTAGCATGGTGACGGAGTGAGTAAAAGGCATTGGTGTGTTTCGAGAAAGTTATCCAGGATTTTCCAGCATGGTTTCCCAATATCAATGGTGCAGGACAAGGTCCTGACAACTAGCAATGTCTAATCGTTCAGATAGTACGTAAAACCCACATGTAAAAGAACATGTGTATATTTCCCTAATAGTACACATCTTTATTAGCCCTGTTGGTGCATAAAAGTAGGAAGTTAATCATAATTTCATTTCATTTATTCCAATTTATATATTACCACCAGTATGGTATTATTTCTGTGTTCACTTTCCCATTAAGATAGAAAATTTATTGACTCTTTTAGCGATATATTTACCTCTTGAATAACAGCTTGACAAGGATGTACTTGACCATTATTCACTGTAGGATTTGTATATCTTTAAGAAAAAAAAAAGAATGGGGATTTAGCCCAAAAAAAGGATCCTGTGAGACTAATTGTATTGTCTGTGTTGTATATTCGAGTACCATATCTATCTCTATTTTGAACAACAAGAGACTCCTGTGAGACTAATTGTATTGTTTGTGGTGTTATCTATATTTCACCAGCAAAGACTCCCATTAGACTACCTGTACAATTATAATTAGCTCTCTGTACAATAAACAATTAAACAACTTGTTTTGTCTGTGTTGTATCTATGTATCATTAGCTGTCTGTATGTAAAGTATATTGAACTGTTCTTTCAGAACATACAAAAATAATAATTATACCTAAATATAGCAGCTAATCTGTCTAACCATACAGTAGGATCATTATCAGAACCTTGTTTAACTGGACCAGTTTCTTCAGCTATTAACTACAAAGTAAGTTATACAATCACTAGTAGCTGAAATACCAATTAGTGATGGATGCTTTTTCATTCTAGAACACCTGATATACATCTCTTGTTTAGAATTTAAGCGGAATGTTATTGCACATTGGATACCAAATTTAATGAAATATTTAAGCAGTATCAAATGAGCAATAAAACTGAACAAGGCTGATAAATTCTAAAAAGATGTGTTGATTGATATCATAGCCCAAAATATTCAACTTTTTCTTGGAATTCTTTCTTTCAGATTTTTGACTGTCGTTTGTCTGTTTTAATGACGAAAAAAACAAAGAAAACAATTTTAACGTAATAAAACATTATGACATAAAGAGATAACATGTTGCTCTCATTCGTTATGACTGTCTATTTACAAAGAGAGGTTACTCTGCATTAATTTTATAACATGGGAAAAGAAATGTAAGTGGTTTTTATATATTTTTAAAATGATTTTGAACTTCAGCAATGACTAAGTTTGAAAGAAATTGCATACTGTTTTTATTAAATGACCATACACTTGTGTGATCATGTAGGTGTATGCTGTATGTGGTTTTCACGCTACTTTGAAAACTGTTTATGGTGTTTGAAAATCAGTTTTTTTCTTCCCAGTCATATCAGTCACTGTTCTATTTTTTTTATTTAAGAACATCAGTTAATTACGACTCAGTGTGAGTTGCAATATTTTTGTTCACTTTTTGAACATCTTGGAATTTGACCAGTCTGATTAGTGATTATGGCAGAATGTCAACATAGCAACATTGTCAAACCAACATTGAATGAAATTTTCTTTCAAATACATTTGTTTCAGGAGTGTGTTTTAATATGGCAATGGCTGAATTTGACATACAAGCAAGATTTCATGAAGATTTTCTGGTGTTAAGTTTTCAGGTGTAGAATTCTTTGCTATTGCGAAGACATTATAGTTCCCAGGAAATTTTCATTCAAAGTGAGTTGCCATCGGAAATTTAGAGGACTGTTAACCCATTCGACACCATTCAGAATCCAAGAAATTTCCATGTTTGGCTACAATAATCATTTCTATTTTACTTTCATGCCATAATCTGGAAACTGAAAAGACAGTTTCAATATAAGTTTAATGTTTCTGAAAGTTATAAAAAAAAACTTTTTTGAATAATTATATTTGACTTACTTTATTTAACTGTGCTATTTGAAAGGAACTCAGTGTGCGTAAACCTTCAGCTATTTTAGGATGTGGAAGTCGAGCTAATATTGATGCTGTGCCTGAAATATTATTTTGTAAAGAAGGGTAATCCATGGCCAAATTTAAAATTACAAACGAAGTTACAACTTTTCTGCAACATAAGGTAGGTCATTGAGTCAAGTGGCATGATTTTCAATTCCCCATTTGTACATGACAAGAAGTAGAGTCGCCTATCCAACTCGTGGGTTTTCTCTGGGCTCTCTGGTTTCCTCCCACTAATACACAGCCCTTTACGAAAGCGAAAAATTGAAATAGTCCCAATATGAGCTAGTTTGTGTCGAGTGGACGTTGAACCCCACTTGGCCACTTCTCTCTCTCTCTTCTACACCAACCAGTATAATGAAGATGGGTATGCACCATGCAGGGTGGTGTAAGGAAAATTTGCCCAGACAGCAGTGATACAACCTACTATTGTTTTGATTTTTACTGTCAACCCGGGACCTCCTGGTTAGTGAGCCATTGTTGCTCTATAAACAATATGAGTTTTTATCTCTGAAATTACAAATGACTGAGCAGACAAAGACTGATGAAAAAATACTGTTAAAGACAATCCCACGATTTGGAATCTATTTTACATAAACAGCATTGCTTGTTTGTGTATCTATATACATTTTACATAAATATACTTTTTACTTGTAAAGTAATTCAACATTTTTAAAATCATAATAATGTGATATACAAACCCTTTAATAAACCAATAGCAGCATCTGTGGACAAGTTAAACGTATCCATAGCTTGAATAATCTGTACTAATCCTTGAAAATGTTTTGTTAGATGATCACGACATTGTATTGATATACTCTGTAAAGCATTAGCTGCTGCGGATGCCAATGATGGTTGCTGTAAACCAGCCAATAAAAATTGTAATACTGGATCTGTAATAAACCATTATGTATTTAGACATTAATTAAATCTAGTATTTAATACCCTTTAACACACAATTAAAAATAAAAAAGCTTGTGTATATATGTTTGCCTTATTAACTGTTTCATTACATGGGGTCTGGTCTCTCATTAGAATAGCCTAGAATAAAAGTAGTAAGTCGGCGACAGGACTGATCATCAGCGTAAGGATTAAGACCAATAACAGTTTCAGTCAATTGTGTAATATCAAAGTGTTCCCCAAGACAAGAAACGTACTACTGTTCTGCTCCGACTGGGTTAATGAAGACGTCGGACATACGCCATACAGTGTGCTATGAGTGAATTTTTGCCAGGACAACAGCACTATGGCCTACTCCTATGTAGAATTCCAACTGTCAAGGGTTCTTTTACGTGCATGCCAATGTGTATCCTCGAGGCAACAATTTACAATACAAAGAAGATACATATAAAGAAATGCTGGGTTTTTTTTTCAAAGATCAACTGCTGAGAATATGATCATTAAAGCAGAAGTCTTGGAGAAAATATTTATATAAATTACTGATAGATGCTTTGAAATTGTATGTAAGTATTTTTTACCTAAATACTGTGGGTTTCTTTCAATCCATTCACATAATTCCCCAACTAATTGTAAACTTGTATATCGTACAGCAATATGAACTGTTTCAGGAAGATTTAATACAGCTTCTAATACTTGTGGTACTATTTCTTTTTCTTCACTAAAATAAAATGAATTGTGAAATAAATCATTGATAGGTTATAACAGAAGGTAAATATGTGCCAAACAATGTGTAATACGCATTTTTAATAAAATATCTAAATTTTCACAGGTTAATCAAAGCTAAAATGTACTCAAAATTGATAATTTAGCATTTAATTAACAAAACAAAATCAACGACTGATAAATTTTTCAAATTGGATTCAATGAGATTAAAAATGAAAGGCTCATTTCCTAACACTTAAGGTGGCTTGTTTATATTGTCTACAGAGGATGTCGAATGCTGGGAGAGTTTTAATTCATCATATCTTTGTAAATACTGAATAGATTTGAACCATTTTTGGGCTGATTTTCATTTTGGAGATTCAACTGTCACAATATTTTAGTTCGCAAATGATTCAAACTCCCTGAATATGATATCAGATAATCATGTCGCTAACCACACTACATTCTATTACATTCTCTAAATTAACTGATTTGTACACTATCCATTATAAATTTTTGACTAATTAATTGAGAGAGACTAAAAATTTATACTTTATAATTTTATACCAGTATATAATCTATGATTATAATTTTGAACAATGTATTTATAATTCTGTAAATAATTTCTTCTGAGAAATGAATTAATATATACGCTCTGGCTTGTTTTCAAATCCCATATGTAAATATTTATCAAATAAATAGTATTAGAAAAAAAAAGAATCCGTAACTTTAACCTAGTTAACAACATTAATTTCATGGCATGTTTGTGTTGAAAACAAACATTAATATCATGGAATAAGAATTTTAGTTTCAAAACTAATGGCATTTAGTTTCCTAAATAAACTTACGGTAAAATATTTTTAGCCACAGCCGTCATAACAAATAGCGATGCTTCTGAAGCATCCCATGGTATGTTCTGTGTCGGATTCTGTAGATTGGAAAACATCTGTCAAAAAAGAAAAGATTTCATAGTTTATTCAGTTTGATTGAGATTACAATGTACTAGTGAAAAAATTGATCAAGTATTATATCTCTGTGAAAGATGTGATATTATAATAGAGAAGACTTGTATAACCAGTCAATTCTCTCAAACAATTGATGAAGCATTATATCTCAGTGAAGGATGTGATATCTGAATGAAAGAGACTTGTATAACCAGTCAACTCACTCTAACAATTGCATAAAAAAACCTACCTGACTAAAACATGGAGTTGAACCAACAATAAAAACAACATCTTTGATTAATTCGGACACCCGTAATCTAAATTCACCAAAATCACCGGTATCATCGGGTATCGTGTCCTAAAAATTATTATAAATAAATAACAACAACATTTTATATTAACATGAACCTAGGAATATTTTGTGTACCATATTCATAGAAATCTTCTGTGCAAATGTCTGTCAGTTCAGATGTTTTTAAATTCGCATGACCATTGTATGAGTGTTTATGGGAATGTTTATGGCTTACATTTCACAGACAATGACACTTTAATAATCTATCGCCAGGACAGCGTATAGCGACTATATTTGAAAAAATCTAAAACCACATGTAAATTGTAGTTATATCATATATTTGTGCACTGTGTTATTTCATAATTTTTATTGTTTATTTTACAGTCTTCCTAAATTCTCTATTACCTGATAAAACTGCTATTTATTTTCTGGCCAACAGTATTATGTGATGTCTGATATCCCAACATCTCATTTCAATTTTATTTTTTAAACAGTTATTCAGTCTTGAAGTTTATTGTAAACAGAAAAATAAAAATGATAATATTTCTATGTACAGTAACTTACATGATCTGGATCTAATTGACAATGTTTAGCTAATGATATCAACAATCTCTGTATATATGGTCTAAATAATTCGTTCAAAGCCATATCATTCTTCTGATACATATCTTCTGATAAACGATACCAAAAATTAAAAGTTATTTCAGCCACCTGGAATACAGAATATTGTAAATTGTCACTTTCAGTAACAGAATACAATGATAAATTGTGAATGACACAAGTTAAAAATAAAATTGTTTTCCTATGTTATTTCAGTCTATTTTTCAACCTGAGAATAAGACACTCTTTTTGAGAAGTATTTCTGATTCTTTGTCGATACATACTGCTTTCCGCTTGCCACTCTTGAACAGAATTGGGGTTTAACTTCCACTCCACGCAAATTAGGTCATTTTAGGACTAACATATGATTCAATTTTATTTCAATAATTTACTTGCAGGTAAGAGTCTTTGTGATCTAACATGCTGTAAACCATGTGGATTAGGCCACATGGGGATTTTTGGGGGGTTAGAAAATTAAATCATGTAAGAGACATTTATCCAATGATAAATAATTACTTATACACAGAATCTAAAAAATCTTACCTCATATAAATGATGACCAACACAAGTTAAAAGTAATTCTAATATTCTAAAGTCTCCTAATCCCTGTAAAGAAAAAAAACCCAGATACGATCTAATAATCCCTGTTAAAAACAACACACAAAGTATGGCAGTTACCTAACATGTTGAAAATCTATCACTGTACCCCGGGTATCATTTAATCAATTGAGTTGTTTATTTTACAAGTGTTTAATTTCCCGATGACTGTTGAAAAATAAACAACCCAATTGATTATTAATGGGAGCAGGACAATTGCTGGCAGGACAACTGTCGACAATATTATTTGTTTTCTGTATTTATGTTCTTTTTATTAAAAATAACCAATACAGTAGAATCTGTATGAGCAGCCACTCCTATTCAGTGACATCTCCTTGTAAGCGGTCACGATAAATTCCCCCCGTAGAAATTCTATTGTTTAATCTCTTTATTCAACGGTCACTCCTCTAACGCGGCCAGCGGTCACTATTTTACTAATAAATTCAACAAAAAATAGCCCATTCAATGGCCATTGTTGAATGATACCATCTTGTCGTTCTTTGTAACACCAACGCTAATCCCGTGCGTAGTAGTTAATTAACTGGACCCCCACTGATCAGGTAAAAAGAAATGTAAAAATAACAATCTACCCGGGATTATCTGTTAATTAATCTTTTGTTTTATTAAACGACTAACCTGATCATTGTTTTCACGCGTAACGACACATTATTTGATACTGATTGAATAAAATAAAAGTACCGAGTTTTGTCACGATCATCTAGTATCTCTTTTCCATTGCCACTTTATTGTTTTAACAACAGACGTTTTAGCGCCTCCTATAATATTACATACAGAGTTACACCCCCTGTAAATAGGTGATAAAATTAGCGATGTTTTTTTTGTGCATGTGCTTTTTTGATAAAATAAAATTAATTCATCGATTTTCTTCACAAAAATGGATAAATATTATCGAATGCACCACAATGGTAGACAGTAGTATCGAAGGTTGGTACAAAATGACAAGTATACAGAAGTTATGTCCGAGATTTGAGTAAAGAAATTTCGTTCGGCGCAAGATTAAGCGACGGTCAAATTTACCGCTTTGAATGCATTCAAGCGTAATATTTAATTTATGTCAGCACATAAAGCACCAAGATTTTATTAAGAGGCCACTCCCGTTAAGTTATGTCCGAGATTTGAGTAAAGAATTTTCGTTCGGCGCAAGATTCAGCGACGGTCAAATTTTCCGCTTCCAATGCATCCAAGCGTAATATTTAATTTATGTCAGCACAAAAAGCTATGAGATTTTATTAAGAGGCCACTCCTGTTAAGCGGTCAGTTGTGAAAATTCCCTTGGGTGGCTGCTTAATGCAGATTCTACTGTACTTAATTTCTAAACTTTTTTTAGTATTATCATACTAATCATTGATATAGAATTATTTAGTTCAGTTTACTTCACATATTGTCTATAATCACACTCACTCAGTTATAATAATTAATTTGCACATTATTTTGAACAGTGGTCGGGAAATTAAACGCTTCTAAATGGACACTTGTTATCAAAATTAAATTTGTTATCAGCTTTAATCTGGACCCAATTACCAATCTGATGATTTGGGTGAATTTAGAAGATTTTTACTAATTTTCAATCAATGATTTAATATTGAATGAATGTTAATGAAATAAGGGGTAAAAACTCAAGATTAAATGATATCCAGGTTACAGTGTATATAATGAATAAGATACTTTATATAGTATTTACTAAGTTCTCTTGGTATAAAGAATCCTTTCCTAATTAAAGTATAGTACCCTTTATCTGATTTACGTATAGTATAGTTTACCTGATTTGGTGTTGTTACTATCACATTTAAAAAAGCTTCAGCTATTTCTGTAAATACTCGACAATAATTAATAGATCTGTAAATAGAAAAATAAAACAGTACAATATTTGAAAAGAATGAAAACATGTTTAGTCTCTTGCTAATAGTTCTTTACTATAGATTTTATGAGCATATGGTTATTTTGATCTATTATGGGTATATGTAATGTAAAGAAGAATACATATTAATAAATATATACTGCCCAACCCAACAAATATTACCCATGACAAGCGATTCAAACATTGATGTGTAACATGTGAGTCTGCTGCTGTAACTACAGCTACAGAAAAAGAAATCTACAAGTACACAAAACATAAATAAATTGTTTAATGTATATAAGTCATATTTCATAAACATACTTATCTGAATCTTCATCAGCTACTGAAAGATGATAACCTTCGGTTAATGTTAATACACCTTCAAATAAAGCTTGAGCTAATGTCGGATGTTTCTGAATATCCTGAAATAAATTCATCATAATTCAAGCAACATATATCAAATCAGAGAATCCTTGTACTTTGGCCAAATCTAACATATCTGTATATCCAAATGTATAATTTGTGAGAGATCAAAAGGATCAACCAGGCTGTAATTATGTAGAATATTAGAATAATAATTCTATATTACCAAGATTAACAAATTATAGCATACCTCCATACTGTAAAGTGCTGTACAAAGACAATCTGCAGCAGCTTCATGAAGATGTGATGGTGTTTCTCTGTGTCTCTATAAAATACAAATGTGATTTATTATTGTAAAGTTTCTTTGGAAGGGGAGAGTAGAGAGTAAAAAAAGAAAATATTTAATAGTAATTACTTATATCAGGATGCTTTACCAGGCTTTAAAATATATATAAACAAATAACAGATAGCTTTATCTATAACATTCACTAGGTTTATCAACTGCAATATTTAAATGATCATTGTTTGATAACACAGAGAGAGAGAGAGAGAGAGAGAGAGAGAGATTGGGTTTAATGTCCACTCGACACAAACTAGGTCACTAACATGTTTTTTTTTAAAAATTTTATTTCAATAATTCGCTTGCGCGTAGGGGTCTTTAGCAGTGGGAGGAAACCGGAGGACCCGGAGAAAACCCACGAGGTTGGACAGGCGAACCTACTCCTTGCCACGTACAACCGGGGATTCGAAACCACGCCAGTTGACTCAATGACAGGCTTTATGATACAGCACGCACGTGCTAACCATTCGGTCATCCAACCCCCCTTTGGTAACGGTGAGAGTACCCCCAATGAACGCTGCAGTTAATAATAAACCTAGTGAATATTATCCATAAAACTGTTTGTTATCATATTTTGCTTTCACCAAATGCCGTTTAAAGATATCAAATATAAACTGTATACATACCAAGGCTTCAAATGGTGCCTGTAATAATGGTGTATTTATAATAGCATCTTGAGAAATACCTCCTACACTAAACCAACTTCCAACAACACGGAATATTCTAGCTTGCAATCTTTTATCATCTCCTGCCGACTCTGAACATGCCGTCTGCAAAAATACAATGCGGTATTATTGAAACATAAAATGTCACACACAATAATCAGGACATTGCTTTCCTTTTCAACACTGTCAACATATTTTCTGCAATTATATTGGGCACATTATGTTTTTTACAGAACAATTAAACAATCTATGTGAGTGTAATACAGTTCACTAAATATGTTTTTTTAGAGATGGAATAAACCAATTTTCTACCCTATTTATTTTAACACAAAAAGATAACTTGTATATGCTGTGGTTCATTACTTACCAGTAATTGTAAGACTACAGGACAAGCTGATGTTAATTCTGCTATTACTTCTTGTCTTCTGTTTGCACCAAGCCGCAGTGATCGACTATTAATCTGAAATAGAGATCAATTATGTTAAATACATCTGACAAATCTGGATTCAAAAATACTTGCAGGACACAATAAAAAAATAAACTATTTAGATATCTGTATGTACATGTATTGAATACACAATAGACAGTGGAATCTGTCACTTCTGGCATCGTACGGAAATGTTCAAATATGTCTTTTTAAACTGCATGAAATAATACTCAAAACCGGAACATGCACAAAAGATTGATGTCCTTTTTGAAAATGATGACGGATGTCACAAATTGTTGTAATATTCAGAAGCTGAATGTGACAGATTCTAGTGCATTCCCCAGTATACAGTACCTTGTACATAACTAAAAATAAAATAACATATAAGGTACATTTATTGTCTATGGTTATGAGTACATTCTTTGAAGAGGGGAGATATTTGCTCGAACAGCAATTCTTTTTTGTGAATTTCAACTGCCAATGGATCTTTAAAGTAAACTACCAATTTATATTACATTTCTTTTGTGTTCAATCCGATACCCCACGTCCACATGAATGGACCACTTATGCATCATACGTTTGTACCTCAAAATAACCACAACCCTTGTATGAAGTTTTTATAATTAATTACCTCTTCTGGTAAGACAGTAAGTACCTCCAATAAAAATGATGTTTGTTGAGCATTTGAACCAAACCTAAGGAAACAGTTAATAAACATAAATCAGGTAATTAACAATAGATACATTATTCCTTATAAAATTAGACTACTTTCATCAGTAATGACTATTTGCATGTTGAAGCCAAACAAAATCTTAAACCAGAGAATATAAATTAACTTAACTTACTTTTGAATGATCTCGACAACCCCACCTTTCCAGGACGGAATCTGTAGAATTAAATCTGCTAATGCCAAACTTAGCTGGAATAAATAATACTCAAAATTAAACTTCTTAAAATATTACAGTATTAGAAATTATAATATACATGTACAAACATTTTTAAGAATGATTTACAATATAAATATCTATGTCCTGTAACATTACATTTCTGAACAATGTATTATATTCAAGTAAACAAGTCAAGAATATTTATATTTGGTTTATGTATACTCCTATTACTGCTGGCACCAAGAAGAATAATCCCATAAATTTCTTTATCAAAGTCCTATGTGTGCTTATACCTTTTTATTACTAATAGTACTAATCTGGATATAACTAAATATATCAACGTCCTCTTTTACAATGACCCAAACCAAAATTTTTTCAAATGTTTTTGATGGAAGGCAACTGCAGTAAACAAATAGTGGTTGTTGATTTCGTAAATTGATGCATTTCTGTTAATATATTTTGGTTTAACAGTTGGGCTTGTAAATCATGCTATTGATACAAACTGTCATGTTCTATAAAATCCAACTAAAGCTTTCATAATTTACTGAAAAATATTAACAAGAAATCGAAGTTTTAAAAATTGAATTTTACATGTGGTCACGAAATAAACACAAGAGATAATAACTTACCTGTGTAACAATTACAGGTGGAGTTTCAGGTGTTATTTTACTAGCATGTTCTATTAATGAATCACGCAATGACTGAAAAATATAATAAATAATTAAATCATAATAATAAGTATTGAAATCATTATAACAATGGATCAGTATAAACAGAAGATAATACAAGTAAGTATTATAATGTACTCATCTGTCCAAAATATAATATTTAATCATAATAAATCTAAATAAGTCTTGTAGTGTTATCATTTATGAATAAAACTGAAACTACATTTTTACCAAGAATGATATAGGCCTATGTAAGTTTTCATATTTGGTAGGTTTACTTATTGACAGTATAAGCTTACCGGGTGAGAATTCACTGGTAATTCATGAAATGCATACTGGATCTGGAAAAGATTGACAAATTGTAAAATGAAAACAAATATCAATAATTAATTATTATCATAAATGTAGATAACTCCATACAAATTTTAAACAAGCAATTGCCATGCAAGGTACACCCACATTTTCCAAGCGATGGACAGAGAACAAGCTAAAGAGAGCAAGAGAATACCAATGACCTACAGTACATTGATCGTCTGCTCAATGGATGTTACCTTTCTAAAAGCCAATGAAAATGCTTGCCTGACGTAAGCCCCACCCTTTTCGTGAACTTGACTAACAATACCATTGACATTGAACAGGGACAGTGTTTGGATTGCCGGTAATGGCTACCAGTACCGGTATATTATACGGAATAGCAGAAATATATGTAGGAATAACAGAAATATTAACAACAGTTATGCACACATTTTAAACACTGTTAATGCTAAACTGCTATAAACCTATGGTGGTAGCATTGTCTGTTATATGGAATTGCAGAAAATGGCCACATCTTTTATGCACGAATTAACAGAAATACCAGCGATAATTAAGGACATATTTTAAATTTATCTAAATCATTATTGACATATCTGGACGCATTTTAGCCATATCTAAAACATTATATATAAGTGGACAAGAAAAGAAACAATATTGTATTTAATTTGGGTGGTAATATATCATATGCTTTTGATTTAGCGCCACATGGTTAACATGTCTTGATTCTCGGGCAGTTATTTCTTCAACTTCAGTGTCGACACGGCAAAAGCCTGGATTTGCTTAAAACTGTGCATTAGGCGCACCCCTTCTAGAAAATAAAATATTTGGTAAAAAAAGTGTGCCTGATCTACCAAAGAAGATGGTATCTGTTGAACAATTAATGAAAGTACATGTACATATGTCAAAATTAGAGTTACCTTTGTTCTCATTGTTTGAGCAGCAAAATAACAGGATTCTAAACTTTGATTTAATCTCAATAACTGATCTGCTATTTGCCATGCAAAAACCTTAAATGTAATAAAAAGAAAACATTGCCATGAAAAATATAACAAATCCAATATTTTTTGCAAAAAATATACATTAGTACAATTATAAGTAAGCTTGAGATTTAGTGGTCTCGTCGCTTGGATATCTACCGTTCAAATACTTGTGAATCATGGCTGCAAGATATAGTTCACTGTATCCATTAAAACATTTAGGGCCTCCTGATATGCAAGGACTTTGCTGTGTAGTTTATGTACATGTATTGGTTTACAATCTACATGTATGTATGTGACAAGACTATTATAATCTGTTTGAAGACTACGTCTTATGAATTTTTATGCAATATCCAATATTGTTTGAATTGTACCAAGTACTATTATTAATTATGTTGCTATACATCATGTACATGTGTACTGCTATCATATCATACACACAACTACAGAATTGTTTGTGTACAGGTCTATTATTTCTTTATTAGACATTTTTGGTACCTGTATTGATTTCATGTTGTGTATTGTTCCATTGATTGTGTATTGTTGCATTGTTTGGGTTTATATAATTAGTCAGTTTCCCTCTTTGTACATTAATCTTCTGGATTAATTCTTTCTAAAACGATCATACAAAATCTGGTCTGATTTAAATGGTGGGAGGCTGGTTAATGTAGCTAAATCTCTAACTCAATAATATCCATAATCTTCGACATTGAAAACATGGAATAGAATTTAATGTTGAGCCATTTTGATGTTGTCATCTTACTGTGAAATTATGGGTTCCTGATAACCAATACTCAAGACACAACGAATATTTCAAAATCAACGCTATCGAGCACCACTTATACTGATGCGACTTGATGAACGAGGCAAAACATCAGTGCATATGTGTAATGTCAAACCTGACTCCCAATGTGGACTGGATGTTAGGCATATCTAATACTAGGACTGCTCACATATTTCTCCGAACATAACTGATTAGATATTACAATAAAAATTTTAAATATTGAATGTAAATCAGTTTAAATACATTCATATTTCATAAACATGTACTTTTCGACCCATTTAGATTTTAAAAAATTGAGTTTTAGCTTAAAAATATAACAAAACACTATCAAACTTTCAAAAAGGTATAATAATATTATACTATATTGGAAAACAAGCTGCAAGCAAAATAAGAAAGAATAATTTCTAGCAATTCACAAATTACATTTATCTTCCTTGATCCTTCTCACCAACTTTCAACTTGGAATTTTGGAATAAATAACTAAAGTAAAGTAAGATTCAAGAAAGAGAAAGAGAAGCATAAACTTACCGATTTTTGAAGTTCGCCTAACCACACAGACGCCTTTTCTTTACCGGCCATATCAGGGTTGTTGTAGAGCGCTTGTAGCGCTTGACATACAGTGTCAAGAGTAGGAGCTTGCTCCATTATTAATATTTTCTTCAGAAGTTTTAAAAACTCATGGAACTTTTTCACTTTTCGCCTAAAAACCGGAAATCAAAGAGCAGGTGCGCGATACGGAGCAAATGAATTTCTCCGTTTTCAGAAAGAAAACTCTTATAATAACCCAATAATAGTATGATAATTTACACTTGCAATTAGAATCAAAGTGTTTAAAAAAAAAACAACACTTTTTTTCTTTAATTTCTCAATTACCCCTAAGTACCACTAGAATTTCCAGTCAACAAACTCGGTCGATGGTTGGGCTAAAATTTGGGAATAGTTTGTTTGACTGAAATAAAAAACGCACTAACTCAATTATGATTACATCGTTTTTTGTCTATTTTGATTATTTTCCCCCAAGTTCAAATCTGACAGTTGAAGTCACAATTTTATTGAGATTTTCCTTCCAATAGCAATACCCTAAACAACGTGTTGACCTCTCTTTGCGAGTAAGGTCGTCATCTAGGGTTAAGGGTCAACGACTGACGTCATCAACTGAAAACAATGGCCGTACTAATATAAACAACTTGAATTAAGTCTGTGTCCGATGCATAAAACTGATGACAGCATAGTATCTAGTCGCTTCAGTATTTGACATTTTCATGTGGCCTCGCCCAGTCGATAAAATCAATCAGTTAGTTCAGTCGAATAATCCAGTCGAATAAACCAGTCGAAAAGTTCAGTCGAATAAACAAGTCGCTCAATATTAAGCAGCGGTGGCAGCGGGCTAAGATAATATAGTAGCAAATCATGCTCGTAGCCATAGCTGAAGGAGCCGGGGGCATGGGGTAGGGACCGGGGGGCTTCCCAACTAATTTCAAGAAATGAAAAGAAATGAAATGGGGGTTCAACGTCCTTTTGTTCTGCTTGGAACTGGGCTAATGAAGACGGGCATACGCCATAGTGCACTGTGCGATGAGGGAAATTTTGCCCGGACAGCGGCACTACGGCCTACTCTTATATCGAATTCCATCTGTCAAAGGGATCTTTTACGTCCACTCCAATGTATACACGGGACCTCGGTTTTTCGTCCCATCCGAAAGACTAGACAGCTGTCCTTGTCCGCCTCGAAAAGAATAGAGTCCCTATATATGATATGAACGAAGAAAGGGGATGGGGTGGGGCGGGGGTGGGGGGGATAAGGTATTTGACATTTTCATGTGGCCTCGTCCAGTCGATAAAACCAGTCAGTTAGTTCAGTCGAATAATCCAGTCGAATAAACCAGTCGAATAATTCAGTCGAATAAACCAGTCGAATAGTTCAGTCGAATAATTCAGTCGAATAAACAAGTCGCTCAATATTAAGCAGCGGGCTAAGATAATATGGTAGCAAATCATGCTCGTAGACATAGCTGAAGGAGCCGGGGCATGGGGTAGGGACCGGGGGGCTTCCCAACTAGTTTCAAGAAATGAAAAGAAATGAAATGGGGGTTCAACGTCCTTCTGTTCTGCTTGGAACTGGGCTAATGAAGACGGGCATACGCCATACACTGTGCTATGATGGAAATTTTGCCCGGACAGCGGCACTACGGCCTACTCTTTTATCGAATTCCATCTGTCAAGGGATCTTTTACGTCCACTCCAATATATACACGGGACCTCGGTTTTTCGTCCCATCCGAACGACCAGACAGCTGTACTTGTCCGCCTCGAAAAGAATAGAGTCCCTATATATGATATGAACGTAGAAAGGGGATGGGGTGGGGCGGGGATGAGGTATTTGACATTTTCATGTGGCCTCGTCCAGTCGATAAAACCAGTCAGTTAGTTCAGTCGAATAATCCAGTCGAATAAACCAGTCGAATAATTCAGTCGAAAAGTTCAGTCGAATAAACCAGTCGAATAGTTCAGTCGAATAATTCAGTCGAATAAACAAGTCGCTCAATATTAAGCAGCGGGCTAAGATAATATGGTAGCAAATCATGCTCGTAGACATAGCTGAAGGAGCCGGGGCATGGGGTAGGGACCGGGGGGCTTCCCAACTAGTTTCAAGAAATGAAAAGAAATGAAATGGGGGTTCAACGTCCTTCTGTTCTGCTTGGAACTGGGCTAATGAAGACGGGCATACGCCATACACTGTGCTATGATGGAAATTTTGCCCGGACAGCGGCACTACGGCCTACTCTTTTATCGAATTCCATCTGTAAAGGGATCTTTTACGTCCACTCCAATATATACACGGGACCTCGGTTTTTCGTCCCATCCGAACGACCAGACAGCTGTACTTGTCCGCCTCGAAAAGAATAGAGTCCCTATATATGATATGAACGTAGAAAGGGGATGGGGTGGGGCGGGGGATGAGGTATTTGACATTTTCATGTGGCCTCGTCCAGTCGATAAAACCAGTCAGTTAGTTCAGTCGAATAATCCAGTCGAATAAACCAGTCGAATAATTCAGTCGAAAAGTTCAGTCGAATAAACCAGTCGAATAGTTCAGTCGAATAATTCAGTCGAATAAACAAGTAGCTCAATATTAAGCAGCGGTGGCAGCGGGCTAAGATAATATAGTAGCAAATCATGCTCGTAGCCATAGCTGAAGGAGCCGGGGCATGGGGTAGTGACCGGGGGGCTTCCCAACTAGTTTCAAGAAATGAAAAGAAATGAAATGGGGTTTTAACGTCCTACTGTTCTGCTTGGAACTGGGCTAATGAAGACGGGCAGACGCCATACACTGTGCGATGAGGGAAATTTTGCCCGGACAGCGGCACTACGGCCTACTCTTATATCGAATTCCATCTGTCAAAGGGATCTTTTACGTCCACTCCAATGTAGACACGGGACCTCGGTTTTTCGTCCAATCCGAAAGACTAGACAGCTGTCCTTGTCCGCCTCGAAAAGAATAGAGTCCCTATATATGATATAAACGAAGAAACGGATGGGGTGGGGCGGGGGTGGGGGGGATGAGGTATTTGACATTTTCATGTGGCCTCGTCCAGTCGATAAAATCAGTCAGTTAGTTCAGTCGAATAATCCAGTCGAATAAACCAGTCGAATAATTCAGTCGAAAAGTTCAGTCGAATAAACCAGTCGAATAGTTCAGTCGAATAATCCAGTCGAATAATTCAGTCGAATAAACAAGTCGCTCAATATTAAGCAGCGGTGGCAGCGGGCTAAGATAATATAGTAGCAAATCATGCTCGTAGCCATAGCTGAAGGAGCCGGGGGCATGGGGTAGGGACCGGGGGGCTTCCCAACTAGTTTCAAGAAATGAAAAGAAATGAAATGGGGTTTAACGTCCTTCTGTTCTGCTTGGAACTGGGCTAATGAAGACGGGCAGACGCCATACACTGTGCGATGAGGGAAATTTTGCCCGGACAGCGGCACTACGGCCTACTCTTATATCGAATTCCATCTGTCAAAGGGATCTTTTACGTCCACTCCAATGTAGACACGGGACCTCGGTTTTTCGTCCCATCCGAAAGACTAGACAGCTGTCCTTGTCCGCCTCGAAAATAATAGAGTCCCTATATATGATATAAACGAAGAAAGGGGATGGGGTGGGGCGGGGGTGGGGGGGGGATGAGGTATTTGACATTTTCATGTGGCCTCGTCCAGTCGATAAAACCAGTCAGTTAGTTCAGTCGAATAATCCAGTCGAATAAACCAGTCGAATAATTCAGTCGAAAAGTTCAGTCGAATAAACCAGTCGAATAATTCAGTCGAATAATCCAGTCGAATAATTCAGTCGAATAAACAAGTCGCTCAATATTAAGCAGCGGTGGCAGCGGGCTAAGATAATATAGTAGCAAATCATGCTCGTAGCCATAGCTGAAGGAGCCGGGGGCATGGGGTAGGGACCGGGGGGCTTCCCAACTAGTTTCAAGAAATGAAAAGAAATGTAATGGGGTTTAACGTCCTTCTGTTCTGCTTGGAACTGGGCTAATGAAGACGGGCAGACGCCATACACTGTGCGATGAGGGAAATTTTGCCCAAACAGCGGCACTACGGCCTACTCTTATATCGAATTCCATCTGTCAAAGGGATCTTTTACGTCCACTCCAATGTTTACACGGGACCTCGGTTTTTCGTCCCATCCGAACGACTAGACAGCTGTCCTTGTCCGCCTCGAAAAGAATAGAGTCCCTATATATGATATGAACTAAGAAAGGGGATGGGGTGGGGCGGGGGGGGGGATGAGGTATTTGACATTTTCATGTGGCCTCGTCCAGTCGATAAAATCAGTCAGTTAGTTCAGTCGAATAATCCAGTCGAAAAAACCAGTCGAATAATTCAGTCGAAAAGTTCAGTCGAATACTTCAGTCGAATAATTCAGTCGAATAAACAAGTCGCTCAATATTAAGCAGCGGTGGCAGCGGGCTAAGATGATATGGTAGCAAATCATGCTCTTAGACATAGCTGAAGGAGCCGGGGCATGGGGTAGAGACCGGGGGGCTTCCCAACTAGTTTCAAGAAATGAAAAGAAATGAAATGGGGTTTTAACGTCCTACTGTTCTGCTTGGAACTGGGCTAATGAAGACGGGCAGACGCCATACACTGTGCGATGGGGGAAATTTTGCCCGGACAGCGGCACTACGGCGTACTCTTATATCGAATTCCATCTGTCAAGGGATCTTTTACGTCCACGCCAATGTGCACACGGGACCTCGGTTTTTCGTCCCATCCGAACGACTAGACAGCTGTCCTTGTCCGCCTCGAAAAGAATAGAGTCCCTATATATGATATGAACGAAGAAAGGGGATGGGGTGGGGCGGGGGTGGGGGGATGAGGTATTTGACATTGTCATGTGGCCTCGTCCAGTCGATAAAATCAGTCAGTTAGTTCAGTCGAATAATCCAGTCGAATAAACCAGTCGAATAATTCAGTCGAAAAGTTCAGTCGAATAAACCAGTCGAATAGTTCAGTCGAATAATTCAGTCGAATAATCCAGTCGAATAATTCAGTCGCTCAATATTAAGCAGCGGTGGCAGCGGGCTAAGATAATATAGTAGCAAATCATGCTCGTAGCCATAGCTGAAGGAGCCGGGGGCATGGGGTAGGGACCGGGGGGGCTTCCAAACTAGTTTCAAGAAATGAAAAGAAA